TTTGGCTTTGGCCCAACCACTTCATTAGCTCTGGAGCTACTTGTCCTTGTCTTCCGCTCTTCCTCAGTAACATGTTGGACGTCTTCCAACTTGAGGAGGTCATCTTCCAGCGTCATATCTTTTAGCCTTTTGTTTCTGTCCATGGAGTTTTCTTGGCAAAGATACTGGAATGACTTGCCAGTTCCTGCTCCTGTCGGTCTTGGGTGTCCTTGCACGGCATAGCCCATAGCTTCTCTGAGTTACTCAAACCCCTTTGCCATGACAAGGCAGCAATCCATGAAGGGGACAACTATATCCAGCCCCAAAGCCCATTTCAGACCTTGTTGTCGGCTTGTCAGGAGAACCAAGGACCTTTCAATCCTATTTGACTCCATAGCTGCTTCTCCTATTCACAATGGAACATCCTATTCTGCCCCCACAAAATGTAGGGCATTTACTCGGGTGGACTTTTCCATAGACAAATTAGGGTGGCCTTCAGCAAAACAGGCATCGTTCTGTCCCATGCAAGCAGTTATCCTTCCTCCTAAGACCTTTCAGTCAGCTTTCGACAACCTGTAGCATTTAATTCCAAATCAACAGCAAGAAATTGATTGGTGACTTACACTTCCGTAGTCATGATGGAAAATTGCTGCTAATCGAGAAAATGTTAGTGGCATTCCTGGGCATGCAACTGATTTCACAATTGAGCATACAGGAACACAACCAGTACCTTACGCGGCTTTAGAAGGGTGGGAGCCGATGCCGTCTTCCCCCCCTCCCCCGAGGCTTCTCCCAAAGGGCTGCGCCCGATAGTGGGGGAGAAAACCAGATAATCCGTTCCTATTGGAACGGATTATCCGGTTTTCAATGCATCTCTATGGGAAAACACGTTTCACTTAACGATGTTTTCCCATAGCGATGTTTTTTTTGGAACCAATTAACCTCGCTGTGCGAGGCACCACTGTATATAATTGTGGTAGTGGTAGTAGTGGTGGTGGTGTGTATATATATGTGTGTGTGTATATATATGAGAATTAGATAACTGCTTTTCTACAAAGGATGCAGCTTCAGTTTCTACACCACCAAACTTTTAAGTAAAAAGTAAAATAATCCCAAACTGTGCTGATGAAATTACCTAGCCAGATGTTGCCTCATGGGACATAGTGCTGAATTAGGTGATCCAATTAGCAAGTTTACAGTGCAACACTTCTGGAAATGAAGGATTGGCCAGCTGCACGCCATTGCTCTGAGGACGCCCAAATGTACTTGCAATGCTTTTGCACTCTTTGGGGAGGCTCCTTCTGTTTCCACCAGGAAAAGAGTCTAGCTGGACCATCTGGAAGTCACTTAATAGATTTCAAAGAGAAGTAGGAAGATCAAAGAATAATCCAAATACAGCTACTTGGATACAGGACACATTTTCTGTGACTGTGGAGAAATTCAGTCAGTGCAGCAGTTATGTGCAATTTTTGCCCCACCCAGCACACAAAAGAAGATCTAGCAAATGGCCAAGATAACACTTTTGAAGTAGCACACTTCTAGCAAAAATTAGTCTAATTATCTTACCATTTTACTTTGCTTTTAATTTTACCTGTATTTCATATATGTTCATAACCTTAAATTGTGCAATACTCTGATACAAATAAAGAAAGATGATCCAATAATGAAATTTGGCAAGCCTTAGGATTGTATATGCTTTTCTTTTCTTTTAATAGAAGATTTAGAGCTTATATTTTCTGTTTTAAACAAAGCAGAGTTATGAGAAACATGTTAGTTTAGGAAGTATATTGTATAAGCATGGTCTTCATTTTCTTGCACTAAATTAGAAAGGCACATTTTCCTAGTTTGTGTATAAAAAGAAAATAAATTTTATTTGAAATAAAAAGTGGAAGCCTTTAATCACTTCCATTGTAGAGGGGGAGGAGAGGTGCCATGCATGCTCAAGAAATGTCATACTCTTTTCTGCTACCCTAACTTGTATTTTAGTAAAACGAAAAGTAAATAAAAAGCATTGCAGTCCTTTTGCACAATCCAAAGACTGCAAACATAACATAGCTTACAAATCGTCATGATTCTTCATCAGGCTAGGTGTTACAGAGTGGGGCTTATATAGAAAAAACATACAAGTTCCAAAATTGATAGCTACATATGCATGCCTGCTTTCCTTGTTTAAAGCAAGCTCCAAAATTGTTTTGCTTTGTTTTATTTTGTATAATTTATATGCTGTCTTTCTCCTGGTGAGGGGACTCAAGGTAGCTCACAATATTAAAATAAGTAATGCTTAAAACAAAAAAATTTAAAATCAATTAAACTATAATACTAATTAAAATCCATTAAGAATATAAAAACATTTTAAAACATATTTGGATGATATCTGAAAATATATATATCAAACCTACCTCCTCTCACCTTTGACTTCAATAATATTTCAGCAAGGGAGTAAGGTTAGATTTCAAATCCAACCTGCATCTTTTTCCTGCCAGTGATTACCGGAAGCAAAACAAAATTACTTGAAGTGAATAGGGCTGTGTAAACATGCTTGGCATGTATAATTTACACAGGTTACAGAATCCAACTTTTCTCAAAACATCATTTTTGTTTGTGTGAATCTCTCTCTCTCTCTCTTGCTGTTTGTGTGTGTGTATATACATACTTTTCTGGGTATGTATACATATAAACAGAGATTGAGATAGGTAGAAAGATGGTTCAGTCATTAGAGTGGATTTTATAATACACATTTTACTGGAATAAATTATGAATTATTAATTTTTATTGCAAATTATAATTTGAACGAATAGATAAAGATTGAATAATAATTTTTACTTTTTCTGATTTTTCCCCTTATTCTTTTTTTATGTTTAAGCCACAAACAGAAAGGATCCAGGTGACTGTTATGTTAATTTTATGCATGCCTGTATTAAAGTGTGGAGTGTTGTATATTGTACACTTGAACAGCGCAATCCTGTACATATATAAAAATAGATTAAGCTGAAAATCATTCTCCTGCTTTCTTTCCATTTGCAGATAATTAATTTATTTGAAAGAGTATCTGTGCACCCGATTCTCCTATCTGCTATCCAGAGCATGATTCAGTCCCAAGAGCATGTGAAGATTTTAGAAGATGTTTTTGAGGTCTTAGGATTTTTCTCTCAGGAGTGTGTGTGAAAATGAATGTAGTTAGAATTTTGAATTATTGAGGAATATAAAAATTCAATGAAAACTAATACACTAATTGATTGATTGGTTACTCATTAATCAGTGAGTTGATTGATCAATTGAGTGATTCAGCTGTTTCAGATATTCTGCACACCTCTTTGAAGCTCAATAACTGGAATTTCTTTCATCAAATGCTTGTGTAATAATACTATAAACAGTCTCATGCTGTGGTTTTCTCAAGTTTATTGGATGTGTAGACTCTGTCGAGCTGAAGATTCCACCCATTACAGTTCATACATAATATTAATTTAATTGCTTAGAATTGAAGATGGGGGAAATTACTTATTTGTTCTATAGCTCCCAGAAACCCCATCAACATTTTCCTATCTTTACATACACAAAACCGACTTCCACCTACACAACTTAATAACAGTGAATCTAAGATCTATAAGATATATAGTAAATCTAAGGTCTATAGAGAATGGGGGAAATTGCAGTTAAGTTTAATATGTCCACACTCTTATCTTGCCCAAAATATGCAGCAAGATAGAATACAATCAGTAATTAATTATGCCACTGTTAAAACTGTGGTCCTTACAAGTAGTTTATTATAATTGATTTTCATCCTTTGGAATGTTGCTTCAGTGATGAAGTATTTTTCGGAATATTGTATCAATTAGAAATGTTAAGGAAATCTTAAGTGGTCAAGGTAGATTTCAGTTCTTCTGTAGGCAGAAAGTGAGCTAACGCTGTCCCACATGGTCACAGTGTAATCTGTGGAAGGAAAGAAAGAACAGAATTGCAGCAGTGATGTGCTCAGTTGGCTGGCATATGTCGAGTGGAGAGCATTTTTCATGGCTGTAGATAGGCTGTGTCTGTGCATCTGTCTGTGCAATGCACATGTTCATACCTGTCAGTTTCTCATTTCTGTGTTACTTGCATGCAGTGCCCAGCACAATGGAATCTTTTCCCCCTGCTTTTTTTACATGTCTCTGTGTGTGGACTCTTGGTGCTAGCATAGAATAAATGACAAGAGTCTCAGCAAAGAGAAGGGTTGCCTTGGTGATGTTCCTGAGGTTAAGGTCACTTTCCATTTTCAAAGACAACCAAGGTGGTGATGTGATAGCTTTGAGTGATATTTGTGGGAGTGGTGAAAAGGGAGCTGCTGACAGGGTTGTGCTCCCAGTTCTCCTCCTTCAGAGGAGAGGCACCATTTCTGTAACAGGGTTTTTTGTTCTTTTCAAAGCATTTTGATCCTGGTGGAAATTAAATTACAAGCTTAGGTACTGTTTTTAATAGCATAGGGGCTAGATCTACATTTTTCCCTTCCTCTTTGTCAGTCTTGTAGCATCCACAGATTTCTTTGGGAATAGAGGGCATCTCAAGATGAAAGAAAATGAATCTTCTGCAGTCAACTCATCTCCAAGTCTTCCTAGCCTTTCTGCAGATTCATGTAATGTGCCATTATAAATAGTAAATATTGGAATCTGTGAGGGCATGATCATATCGATAGTATAACACAGACTCTTGCAGCAGGAATTAATACTTCTGCAAAGTCTCTGGTGAGTTCTCAAGAATCCTATGCGCCTTAGCTTTCTAGAAAGTATGTAACTTTTCTAACTGTTACAGCAACCTTGAAGTACAGAAGCAGCTTTTATTTTTCAGCTAAAAACGGAACCAAATGAAGTACTGGAGACAGTGCTTAGGTTGCTCAGTTGCAGATTTTCAGCCTCTGAGTTCTAAACTCCAGTCTATCTACAGATCCAGTTATTGATTCCTCTATAATCCCTCCTCTTCCATTTGTTTTTCGTTACCTATCCATAACTGCTTCACACAACCATTTTGATAGAGCCGGGTGACACCTTCATGACCTGCCTTTTTTCAGCAATTAAGTAAATGTTCTGCCACATTAAGAGTGTAATTCATTGCTTTCTGTCCTTAGCTGCTTGTTTCAAGAAAGTATTGTAGCATAAATTTGTCCTGAAGCCCTTGGTATATACAAATTCAGGAATCTAAAACAAACTGAACATTTCCATTTAAAATCAGGGTATTGGAACCCGGTGAATGTATACAAATTAACACCGTGTTTCCCCAAAAACAAGACCTAACCTGAAAATAAGCTCTAGTATGATTTTCAGGATGCTCGTAATATAAGCCCTACCCCAAAAATAAGCCCTAGTTAAGTGAAACCCTGCCCTCCACCCTTGTGCAGCAACCAGAAGAAGATGACACAACTGTATTTGAATAAATGTAGATGGTTGTACATGAAAAAAGTAAAACACTCCCTGAAAATAAGCCCTAATGCGTTTTTTTGGAGCCGAAATTAATATAAGACCCTGTCTTATTTTCAGGGAAAGACGGTACATGTACTTTGAGCAGCAGAAACGAATAAAGAATCTTGGGATTTTAATGCAGAATTTTGTCACATACATGTATATATAACATATATGGAGTCACCAGTATAGTTTAGTCAGCTTTTATTGCTCACTCTCCTGACCCATTTCCGGGAGGCAGTGGAAGACAGGAGGGCCTGACTCTGGTCCATGAGGTTATGAAGGGTTGGACACAACTAAACGACTAAACAACAACAACTCCCAGAATTAATCTTTGCACATTTTCTGTTTTTAAATCCTGGAAGTTCCAGCTTGATTTTTGTTTTCCGTTAAAAATACTGAACATGTACAATTAAACTAACTCTGCCTTAGTGAATTTGATGCAATGTGTTGAAAAAAATGAGGCAAGAACCGTTTAAGATGTGTCTTGTACAGCTGAAGAGTTATGTAGGGTTTCTAGGATGGGACATGACCTCTGCCTGCTGATGAAAATACCAGGATATCTAAAGGAATGGGTGCAGCAATACTAATTCATTTGGGGAAAAGAAGGGAAAAAAGGAAAAAGAAACAAGCAGACAAAGTGAAGGAGGAGGGGGTAGACGACAGCCAGGAAAAAGGACAATAACAGACTTCTGTCTTGACCAATTGCTCAAAAGCTTGTACCTCTTTAATGAGGTCTTTTACGGCAAAGTTTTCTAAAGAGAATGGCTTGCATGTAAATGCCCTCCAAGCTCACAAGGACTTGTCTGAAGGAAAACAAGAGCACTAGAAGCACTATTGAACTGAAGGCAGAGGAGAGCCATTTGTGCATGTGGTGAGAGGGCTTCTCTGGTAATTTAAAACTCTTGGCGCATGTTCATTTCACAGAAGGAAAGAAGGGCAAAATCTGTGAGTTGCCCACACGCAAATATCTTTTTATTGGGGACTGATTTTCATTTAACAACACACTCATCAGACATCTGAGCAAAAGGTTTTCCTGTGCTAATGAACAAGCACTGCAAGCTTGCTTTGTTCAGACAAGTAAAAATTTGCTCTGTATGTGTTCCTTAGCTGGCATAGTTACTATCGGTTCGACAATATGGGAGCATGCATGGTGGTGCATTTTTAAAATTTCACATTTCAAAAACAATAGTTTTCCAGTAATCCAGTAGCCTTGTTATACTTAATAGTAGTAGTTGTTTTCAATACCTTTGTCAATGTACATAGTTATAGTACTGGGAAAGGGGGGAATTATTGTGCATTGGTATACTTTGAAATAAAGAATGTTAAAATGTCTGTCTTTGAAAAGTATCCCAATTGTGGGGGCTGCTGCTCTCAAACAACTATCCAATGTACAGACATTAGAGAAACAGCCTTGTGATGTCACATCCAAGGCAAATCAAGAAGTGTAGCCCTGTTCCAGCTGAAAATATGAATGCCCCAGATATAAGTAACATAGGAAAACGGTTTGTGTATGCTACATAGTAGAACATTATAGAATTATCTACCATAAAACTGATTCCAACTTATACTTGTGTGGCTTGCCTAGAGCTACAAGGCACGTAATCCCATCAGCCACACACACTCTGGGTGATGTCAGCTCCCTCTCTCTAGGGAAGCCCAGTGGAAATCTGAATTTCTGATCAGGTACTCCAACCTCCTGAGCTGTAATAGCCCTAATTTGACATTTTAACAAATTTTTAGTTTGATTTAATGATTGTTATTATTTCATATTTAGTCATTATTTCTGGAACACCAAAGTTAGGGAAATGATACTGAGGACTGGAAAGGACAAACGTCACAGAAGTATGAAAAGGTGAAGAAGACTACATTTCACAGGCATAAGAAGCCAAAGGGAATTTTTTTGTCTAGATCAGGAATGCTGAATGACCAACTTGGAAGCATACTACCTAACCAGGATCAAATAAGAGAGGATGGAAACAGTATGTTCGAGACTTATACAAAACAGATGAAAGAACAACAGATTCTTTTGAGAAGGAATCCTATGATGAATAGCCCATAGTTCTAGAAAGTGAAGTGAATGCTACTCTGAAAGCATTAAGAAGGAATAAATCACCAGGAGTATGTGAGATATTGATAGAAGTATTTCAGTCCATAGAGACTGAATATGTCAAAAGCCTAACAAGAATATGCCAGCCAAGTTGGAAAACAAAACAGTGGCCCACAGACCAGCAACATTCAATGTGCAACCTAATTCCCAAGAAAGGAGATGCCAAGGATTGGGGTAACTTTAGGACAATAGCTTTAATTTCCCATACAAGCAAAATGATGCTCAAGGTATTGCAACAAGCGATTTAGCTTACATGGAGCAAGAAATGCCTGATGTTCAAGCTAAATTCCAAAAAGGAAGAGGCACTCAAGATCGTGTTGCAGATATCCATTGACTGCTGGAGTG